GCCTACGTCCATGGAGTTGCAGAAGATTTTACTACTTGAGGAATTTACACCAATCAATTATCTCGACTTACAAAAAGAATCTTTCACTTCGTTACTCTTTCTTCTTCTCTCTCTGTTATTCTCTCTTTACACCGAGATACAACAAAAAAACTCTACACTGAGATATACCAAAGAAGATAAGTTTACAAGAGAAATAAACCTAACTTCTCTTGTGCTACAAGCCACCAAGAAGAAGCCAAGAGAGAACAATCTTTTTTTTCTTCCTTCACCGCAAGGAACTACTTCTTGCACTTTCATTCTTTCTATCATGAGGGAACCCGAAGAAGAAAACCATGACTTCGTTAACCATAGGAGAGTCATCCGAAGTCTTTTATCCCGAACAGAAAGGGAGCAAAGGGATGCTTTGCTTCACAGGAGGGAGCGGTTGGTGTAACCGTAAGGTCGCAGTCGTGCGATTGGAATAGCGGGAGCGGAAGCGGGAAGCGCCGATTTGCGATTGAATATGAGCGAGAGATCACGATCTCTCGCGATCGGGAGAGCGAGAGCAGGAGGGGGTCCAAACCGGGCTCCACACTAACAAATCTCTCACTTAGAGACAGATACACCACCTACAACATCTCCTTCCTCGAACTGATATCCTCCACTGGTGGGGTCGCCCATTTCTTCAAACATGAATCCTCCATCTTGACTCCTTCACTATGAATCTTCCACCTCTGCAACTCAAAGTCTCTGTCTTCAAAAGACCCACTAGAGTTGTGCACAACTTCAATTTCTCAAGAGTAACACCCCCAGTCAACATTTTAGCAGGGTTCAAATAGTCTTGAACCTCCAAGTTATTTCTTGGATTACTCTTGTCTCTGCTTACAACTCCGACTGCATGAACAATATCATGCCTCTGTTGAAAGCCTCTTCCAACATGTCTAGTATTGTACCTCTTACCGCCATCAAGCTCAGTCTTCACCTAGTACATCCACTTGTTGTGTATTATCTTCTTCCTTGGTGGAAGTTCCGCCTTGTACCTCTTACCGCCATCAAGCTCAGTCTTCACCTAGTACATCCACTTGTTGTGTATTATCTTCTTCCTTGGTGGAAGTTCCGCCTGCTCCCACTTGCTCGAATTTTCATCTTGCAATATTTCTTCATTGCTCTATGGTTCTCCACCATATGTCTATGGAACAATAGGAATGACTGTCCCGGACCCACTATCCTCTTCACTTCCATCATCAACAAAACTATAAACTGCCAGCAATAGTGCATCATGTACTTCTTCAGATACCACATTTGCGATAACATTCTCCATATTATTGAGATTCCTGCAGTTCATCTTTATATGGTCAGCATTGCCACAATTCCAGCAGGTTGCCTGCTGACCAGACTTTGATTTTGATATCCCTTTATTTGAGTTCCTATCTTGTGATCTTCATCTGAAATCAACATTCAGTACCGAAAGCAAACTTGAGATATCGTCAGAATCTTTTCTGCGCACCTCCTGAGCAAAAATCAAATCACGAATATCATCCGTTTCAATTTAGATTTACCTGCAAAATTTATCTGCAGAACTGCTAACTGTAATCCTCATGGCTTCTCAACTATTTGGCAACAATGCCAACAATATCAGCGCACATATCTCATCATCAAAATAAATTTCAACAAACGTCAATTGATTTTTGATAGTATTAAAATTATTCAGGTGTTGAGCAACAAAATTACCGTCTACCATTTTCAAATTGAATAACTTCTTTATCAAGTACACATTTTTATTCACCGATGGCTTTTCATACATATCTGATAAGACTGTCATAAGATCTGCAATAGTCCTCTCATTGACTATGTTGTGTGCAACGGACCTTGATAGGGTCAATCGAATAACCCCCAGAACTTGTCGATCCAATAAATTTCATTCGGTCTTATCCATTCTTTCAGGTATTTTCTCCAATAACGGAAGATGGAGTTTTTTTTCCATAGAAGTAGTCATCTATCTGCATTCTACAATAACCAAAATCCGTGCATCAATTTTCTCGATCCCTGAAACCTTCACTTCATCTTTAGTCATCATTCTTCCTCAGATCTGAACAAATCTCTGATATCAGGTGTTGCGAGAGATAGATATACCAGTTGATGTGGTATATATATAATATAAATCAAACAGGAGAACGATCAACGACGAAGCGAAAAATAGAGCGAGAAAAAATTCACACCAGAAAACAGTAACACATCGGAACACACAAATTTACGTAGTTCGGCAAATTGCCTACGTCCACAAATTTGCTGAGGATTTTGCTACTTGAGGAATTTACATTAGTCGATCACTTCGACTTACAAGAGGAATCTCTCACTTCGTTGCTCTCTCTTCTTCTTTCTCTACACCGAGATACACCGAAGAAACTCTACTCTGAGATACACCGAAAAAGATAAACTTACGAGAGAAATAAACCCAATTTCTCTTTTGCCACAAACCACCAAGAAGAAGCCAAGGGAGAACAATCTTCTTATTCTTTTTTCTTCTTCCTTCACCGCAAGGAACTAATTCTTGCATTTTTCTTCCTTCTATCCTGAGGAAGCTCGAAGAAGAAAACCGTGACTTCGTTAACCGTAGGAAAGCCATCCGAAGCCTTTTATCATGAACAGAAATGGAGCGAATGGATGCTTCGCTTCACAGGCGGGAGCGGTTGGCGTAACCATAAGGTCGTAGTCGCGCGATCAGAAGAGCGGGAGCGGAAGCGTGAAGCGCCGATTCGCGATCGAATAGGAGCGAGATCGCGATCTCTCGCGATTGGGAGAGCGAGAGCGGGAGGGGGCCCAAACCGGGCTCCACACTAACAGACCTCCCCATTCTTATGTATTTACATATCAGTTGCATGGCAGACAAAATTTATTTTGTTTTGAGATTACTGTTGGACTGGTTGATTTGAGCTTAGTGTTGAGTTGATTTGATTTGGACAATTAGTTCATATTTGAAACGTAGAAAAATCATAGTTCTTGAAGCATTCCAATAGTGTAGATTCAGAGGACAGTTTCGTTGTCTGACCATCGTTACTCGGAGATCACAAAATTATGAATTTTGGCACTCTTGATCGAATGACTCGAGACTAATCCAAAATTTGTACTACTAATGAGATGTTTCTGTATACAAAAAAGTATCTTAAAACAAAAATTAGCACATTAATAAGGTTTTCCCTAATTGTAAGCCAATCTAGAGGCAATTATGAGGGAAGAAGAGATGGGATTTAGATTTGGATGTGGAGAAAATATTGGGAGATAATATTGGATGTTATCCTATCATTGTAATTAGCTAAGCATTATTGGTATGTTCTTCAGCAATAAGAAAATCATTGGATGAATTATATAATATTCTTGTTACTTTTAATGTACTGCTTGGTGCATAACATTTGTTCCAATTTGTAGCAACAGTAGATAAAGAATGGTTGAGCTCATCCTCCATATGATGCTCTAGTTAGTGATTACCTAACTTTGACTCTTGCAGTGGAAATTCAGTGATTTTTTTTTTTTTTGGGTGCATGCTTACAATACGCTCATGATGTGATAGCTTATTAATTATGTTTTTAATTCTTGTAGCTTTGGGTAATGTTGATCTCATGTATTACATTTAACTATCCATATGTATTTAACAAAATACATTCTGAATATGAAACTGAGAAAGAAATGAGCGCGAATAAAATTTATTTGTTGTCAGTGCATAAAATTTTGTCTTGATTATTTGCATGGGGGGACAGAATGGTCTTAGACTATGTGAAAGATCAATTTATGTTCGAGATTATTTAAATAGGGACTTAAGCTTTGATTTGGGATTGGTTTTGTAGCGTTTAGATTAGTTTTGAGAAGCAGAACTACTTCCCAGCAAAGGTGGAAGGGCTGGAAGGCACTGAGGAGCAGACCGTTTCCTTATCACTCATTTTGTCCAACTTTCCTATCATTACCACTAATATCACTTTTAGTTAACTAATAACAGCAATCCTTGTCCACCATTGAATTGAGGCTGGCCACTTTATCCCTCCATTTAAATACATCGGGATGAAAAGGCCAACTCTCCACTTGTGCTCAGGAAAGTTGGATTGGATGATAAGATTGATCATGATAAGAGTGCATGTTGATGATATATGAAGTTGATTACCATTATAAGATTATAAAAATAGCCTTGTAGTGGTGATTATCAGGTTCTTATTATACAACCATGCCCCAACTTCTATAGCCATCATAATGATTATTAAATAAGATGATGACGATGATGATGATTCATGCTGTCGTTGCATAAAAAAAAACACCTCGCTCCCAAGAACTGATCTGGATCCGTAACCGATGTTCTTAAAATTGTAAGTGGTACACACACCTTACTGTTAGACTCAATCTTATGTGAATATAATGAAAATATTATCGAAGAGACCAGACACCGAGACTTAGTAATTACATATGGGAGCCCCCCCATAATGAGTGGTGACACTATGAGAATCCTTCCGTTATTGAGCTTGGCTTAACCATAGTACAAGTGCCAAGACTCACGGGTGCGTTAATCACATAAACCATTGGATCCAATCAAATTTGGATGTGGTATTCGTGCGCTTAGTCTAGTTTTCAACCCAAGCATTTAAACTTATATAAATGGCTGACTACTTGGTATATTTATGCCAATATTTTTTTGTGTATAGGATGTGGGACTAAATGCCTTAATAGGAAAAACAAATATCGCTAAACCAAAATCTTAAGGCTATTAGTTAATGTCATTCTTTAAGATTCTGCCTCTATCCATTAAGCACATATAACCATCAATTAGCAAGAACATCTATTTTATAATCCCGATGAAAACTTATGGATTAACAACATAGAATGGAAATTCCCTGAAACAAAGTTGCCTTGACTCTTTCCTTTCTAAACATATAGTATATGATCAAGCACACATAGCTAAGATAGAAAATGGCCATAATTAACTATTAACTTCTTACGCAATTACAATGCATAGTGACCCTTAATTTTACAAAGAGTCATAGTTTCCTAATTTGCTAATAGAATTTCACTTATATGAACAGAACCAAAGGAGGGGAGATTCAATACTTTAAAAACAAGAAATCATTCGTTGTCACAACGTTGCTGAACTCATTGTCATCAATCATCCATAGATCATCAACAAAGTACTCCCGGACAGGAGAGGTCATCACCTGAGGATTATCACATGAGAAGTTGCAGAGCTCATCCGTGCACCGGTTTAAGCTCGAGTCATCGCTGGCCTCCAAGGAGGCAATATCATTCCATATCTGTTCCATAGGACACACTTTAGCAGCATCTTCATCTTCTCTGGGTCCGGTTTCTGCCATCAAAGGCTCGCTGTGAGAAGAAACACAATTTGAAATTGTTGAAGCTGAGGGAGAAGATTTTGTCTTCCTCTCCTGTGCCATCTTTCTCATGTGTGTTCTCCAGTAATTTTTAATCTCATTATCAGTTCGACCCGGAAGCCGTCGAGCTATTCGAGACCACCTACAGCCAAACCTTCATATTGATCACTATTCGAGCCATTGATCATAGTGAGGTAAAAAAGAAAGCTTTTTGATGTGATAAAGATTTCAACCAGTTCAATGGAATAGTATATAATCTAAGCGCAAGAGGAGTTATAATAGTTCTAAAATAAAATCAAACCTATTGCCCCATTCAGAGTGGAGCTCAACAATGAGACTTTCTTCCTGTGGCGTCATGCGGCCATGCTTGAGGCCAGGTTGAAGGTAATTAAACCACCGCAACCTGCAGCTCTTTCCAGTTCTGTTAAGACCTGCAAAAGATGAAAAAAAAACAACCTTTTTTTGTTTAAACAAGGTAGCTCCACCTGAAACCTACGTAGTAGCCCCCGCCACCACTCAAACCTGACACCTTTGCTATGAAATCCCAACGACGTTCACCGAACAAGCTCACAAAGCATACCAGTTGCAGGTCTTCCTGCTCCGTCCATGGTCCTTTGCGCTTCTCTTCGCTCACCACCACCATCAACCTCTGGTTTGGGATTTTCTGGAAGAAGATTGTTCTTCTCCTCCTCTGCTTAGAGCCACCTTGCAACTTTGTTTCTAATGGAGGATTAGTAGAATGCCTGCTTTGGGTGCGTTTTTACTTTCGGATTTATAGGGACGAGAGGTGGATGGGTGATGTCATGAGTAGTGGAATTTCATAGTGTATACAGCTTATCATTAGTGATTCTTATGGCGAACGCACTTATCTTTTCTCAGATTTTTGTTAAATTTGCATTTGCATCTGCATCAGATGCAGAGTTATAGTTTTATTTTATATGATTTTTTGTAATTTCTTTGTGCTGCCACTTGCCAAGATAGAAACACGTGAGGTTCCCAGCCATCTTTGTTTTGCTGAAGAGAGACACTACAATACCACTTCTTTCGTCACTGTTAGTTATATGCCCCCATTTTTTTTTTGGATCCACTTTAGTTTTTTTTTTTATAATTTAAAATATGTTCAGTTTGTGTAGTTTTTATATAGTTTTAATTTTTTAAATAAATTAATTTATTTTTATAACATTCAAAACAAATAATAGTTATGTGGAGTATAATAAATTCAAAATATTAAATATATTTTATTTCAAATCAAAATATAAACAAAATTAAATCAAGAAAAGAAAAAAATATTGCACTTAATATTTCTTTTAGTTACTTTAGAATGTAGAAACTTGCTCTGTTTAGGTATATGGTGGGAATGTCATTAGTATTAGTTTTGGGTAAAGTTGTCAAAATTTGACCTTATATGTAAACTTGACTTGAAAATTTTGAGTTTGAGTTGACACGATTAGTTTACAAGTCAGGTTTGGGTCAATGATATTAACATGTTGCAGCATTTTTAGGTTGGATTCAGGTTGACCAACCAATTTGAAATTGATCTAAATTTGACTTGCTAATAAACGAACTGATTTGTATTGACCTATCAATCCAAAATTGACCCGATAGTTGCTATTTTGGCCTTTTTTTTTAAATTAGGTTTGGGTTATGTCAGTTCTAAATCCATCCTGAGAACCCAATTTGATACCAATAGATTCAAGGCAGTAGTTAATTGCACTTTTCTTATACATGAATCAGGAACATAAAAATATGTTGTATTCCTTGATATAATTGTAAAAAGAAATTAAATTAAAAGACAAAAATAAAATTATTTTTATGAATAAAACTCAAGATTTCAAATTTTGAGACATTCATGAATAAACAAATATTATGTGGGATAAAGTAACAAACACTATTAAACAAGTAGCAAAAGATGTGCTTGGGGAATCAAAAGAAAAATTTTTTATAAATAAAAATAGTTGGTGGTGGAATAATAATGTGTAACAAAAGATAAAATATAAGAAGTTATGTTATACAAATTGGTTTAAATGTAAAAGCTTAGAGCACTGGGAAAAATATCAAACGGTCCACAGGGAGTCCAAAAGAACTATCTGTGATGCTAAAAATTCTGCTTTTAATACTCTTTATAATATATCAGATATTAAAGAGGGTGAAAAATATATGTATAAACTAGCCAAACAAAGAGAAAAGAAAAGTAAAGATTTAACTCAAGTAAAGTGTATTAAAGATGAAAATCAAAAAGTACTTTTCTTAGAAAAAGATATTCAACATAGGTGGGTGAGTTACTTTGATAAATTTTTTAATGAAGTTTCTGAAAATACGATCGACCTTAGTGATTTTAATATCGTGAATAATAATAAAACGTTTCATTTTTACCGTCGCATTAGTAAAAAAGAAGTTGATGAGACTTTAAAGAAAACAAATGGTGCAAAGTCTGTAGGACCTAATGATATCCGAATTGAAGTGTGGAAATATTTAGGAGATTTGAGAGTTTCTTGGTTTACTAAACTCTTTAATATTATTTTAAAAACTAAAAAGATGCCTGAGGAGTGGAGGAAGAGCATTTTGGTTCCCATTTTTAAGAATAAAGGGGATGCACAACAGTGTGCAAATTATAGAGGAATTAAGTTGATGTGTCATACTTTAAAGTTATGGGAGAGGGTACTTGAACATATGTCAAGACACATCACTAAGATTTATCATAATCAATTTGGATTTATGTCCATCCTTTGGAGATTTCTTGAGAAAAAAGGCATTGAAGTGACTTATATTCAATTAAATAAAGATATGTATACTAGAGTTGTTACTTGTGTTCAAACAAAAGTAGGATTAACCAAATATGTTTTTTATTTCTATTGGAATACATCAGGGATAGACTTTAAACACATGTTTTTTCTTTAGTTATAGATGGTCTTATTAATCCTTTATAGGAGTATGTACCTTGGTGTATGCTTTTTGTTGATGATATCCTTGTCATGGATAAAACAAGAGAAAAAACCCAGGAAAAACTTGAATAATGGAGGTCTACATTGAGTCTAAAGGCCTTCATTTAAGTAGAACTAAAACTGAATACATGGAATGTAATTTTAGTAGGAAAAGCTCTAGTGACAGGAGTGTGACTTTGGGTGATCAAATTATTAAAAGGTTTGAACGATTTAGATATCTTGGGTCCGTTGTTCAAAGCGATGGTGATATAGATGGGGATGTTAATAGTAGAATTCAAGTTGGTTGGTTGAAGTGGAGGAATGCTTTGGGCCTTTTATGTGATAGAAAAGTACCGCTTAGACCGAAAGGAAAATTTTATAAGACTGTGGCGAGACCTGCAATACCCTATGGCATTGAATGTTAGCCTTTAAAAGAGAAGCATAATAATAAGTTAAGTGTTGCCGAGATGAGAATGATTAGGTGGATAAGTGGCTTTACACTTAGAGACAAAATGCAAAATGAATATATGGTTGGTGTAGCTGGTGTAGCTCCTGTGACGAACAAAACTAGAGAAAGTCGTCTTAGATAGTTTGGTCACATTAAACGTCGACAATCTGAAGGTCCGATTAGGAGAGTAGATGTTTTAGATGCAACTTGTGTTAAGAAAGGCAGAGGTAGACCTAAGAAGACTTGGGCTTATTGTATAAAAAATGATCTCGGGCTTATTGTATAAAAAATGATATTGTATAAAAAATGATCTCAATTTACTATAACTAAATGAAAATATGACACAAAATAGGACGCAATGGAGAAAAGGCATTCATGTAGCCGACTCCACGTAGTAGGATTAAGGCTTTGTTGTTGTTGTATTTTTTTGGGTTGGATGCAATTAAAAATATATATATAATTTAAATTCTATGCATACCTTCAAAAATTGCTTTAAAATGATGATTTTATTTTCAAAAATAAAAAAAAGGCCTGAAGCTGATATCCTCATTTTTATAGATATTTTATAGTTTTACGGTTTGATAAAAAAAAACAAAAAAAATAAATTCTTGATAATTGAAAGATAAAAATAAGAAATATTTAAAAATTGATAGAAAATAGAATTGGAGAGGAGAGTCCAGTTGAAGGAAATAGAAGAATAGCTTTCCAATCTATTCACATGCCCAAGTACAGTTAGAAAGGAGTATAAATTATTCACATAACCCAACTACAGTTAGAAAGGAGTATAAATTGATAGCCAGCATAAGACTAGATTATTACAGTCTAAGTACAGTAATTAAGCCATAATTAGGAAGCCTAAATAAGTGGGTCAGTTAACTTCGTTATTAAAAATAATAGGTCATAACTATTATATTCTGAAAAAGGGCATTTCGCATGTCCTGACGGTCACTCACGAGATGCCACATCATCCATAATTAACATGTAATCAAATATCAAACATTTAAATTTAAATTTTTATATTTCTAACACTCAAATCTTTAATATGCACGTAAATGTTCCATTTTTTTTCTATGAATAAGTAATGCCATATGTTGTAATTAAAAATAAAAGTTCGTCGTAGAAAAATAAAATAAAAAGAGAAGTGCCGTTACATTCCCAAGTCCTCCACACCTGGTTCACGGATATTGTCCCTCACCCACACGCGTAGGTTTCTCCTCCTCGTCGCCCTCCTTCATCTTGCTTCCAGTGCTTGCTAGGTTTCGCACATCGTTAATCCGCTTGGTTCCCTCCCTGCCCATCGCCTTTGGCTTCCTGGGAATGCACTTGGCTCGAACGCCGCCCACCTCCTTCTCCACCACCTCCAATGCATTCACACTCCTGCAATAAATATCTGAATTCGATAACAAGATACAGAAATGATTGAAATAACTCACTTTATCACCTAACTCATGTTGATTTTAAACCATCAATCAAATCGATCAACCAAAACTAAACAAAATCAATTCATTCGGTTCACATCAATTTTAAAATCAGAAATTTACATTTTTAGCACTTAACTCTTATGCATTTACATATCTCCCACTAAAATTTTAATTTTTATAAACATGATCTATGTATCAAAATGTGGGTTTCACTGTCAAAAAATATGACTTAAATTTGCATAAGAATTAGGTGTTTTTTACGTAAATTTCCCTTTTAAAATTTAAGTTGGAAATTCCAAAATGATAATATAAATTGATTTGTTCCATAAGAAAATAATTATTCATGCTTTGATTCAATTTGACTAGCTTCCATTAATGAATACCTAAGAAGACTTTTTGTAGAATATATTATTAGTTAATCTTCCATTTTCCATCGGCCAATATCTTCATGTATAAACTAATTCATAGTAATTCATTTTTATTTATTTATATTAAATTTAGTTAAATTTAAATAAAAACAAATCCTTTTTATGCAAAGCTATAAATTGAACTGAACCCTAGCAAAAAAAAATTGATTTTTTTGTTTTATTTGATTTGCTGGAACCAAGAGAACCCGCCAAAAAGGGAACGTCGTTTTCCCCGTTATATACCCATGTGACAGAGCAACCCACCATACAAATCAAATCTGATACGACTCAACAATCATCATAGACTCTCCTGGCTACGATTTGAAATCCACGTAAGCAACAATGCCATGATCCGTTGATCAGACGGCTGAAAGTTAGTTGTTTAAGCAGCTTACCTCTGAGCACTGTACGACGAGGAACGCTTTAGCGTGGGGAAGTCCGCAGACTCATCGCCCCCATCACTCTTCTTCTTCGTCTCCGCCAAACTGCCGCTATAGTACTCCTCCTCAGCAGCCCTCAAGCCCGAAATGCCCATCAGACCCTTCATTTCCCTAAACTCCTGATCATCCAAGGAAGCGCCACGTTGGAGAACTGTACGGTACGGCTGGGCCAGCGAGAACGAGCCGCACGATATCAGGTGCATTACAACCGTCGATGCCGACGCCCGAAAACGACCGGAATGGCAATTTCCGCCTCTGGTTGCGGCGGAGGTGGCGGCAGCGCTCATGATGCTTCCGTCGGTTTTGATCAGAGTCTCGAGAGTCTCCGGGCTTGACGAAGATGGAGGCGGCGAGATCTCATCACAGCCGAGCTCTGTTCTATGGTTTTCTTCTTGCCGTCCGACCAACAATCGGTCACCCTCATCGTCCTTCGCTTGAGCTCGCCGACGTCGGCGTTTGTCTTCTGTCTGCGTGGCTGCGTCCGCGTTCACGGCGGAGGCCGCCGTCAGATCGGTCTTGTAGACTTTGTACTCTCCAAGATCGAGAGATCTGGAGCTCCACATCGTGTTCCTCCGTCTAATCGGCATGAAACCCACATCCGATTTAGGGGTGTGTTGAGATTCCGACATTTCCTGCGGTTTCTGAGAGGAGGATAAGCCATGGAGAAGCTCGGATCCTTTGAGTATGTACTCGTTCCCGTGCACCGGGTGGATAAGATCGTCATCAGAGAGATCGTGCCATACGAATGCGTTCTTATAGTTCCTAAAATCACATCTCGAAAACAAATAAGCAGGGCAATCAAGAAGATAATGCGAAAAAAAAGAAGGCGAATCTACCTCTTAGCAGACCAAGAATACATGCTCGCCATACCCTTCCCTCGAAGAAAATCAAGGCGATTAAGCACATCTATGGATGAAAAACAACAAGAAGGTAAGATTACATAAATCCAATTTCCGGAATACGAAGCGGATCATCCGAATCGTTCAACGTACCTCTGAGATGGAGTCCCCTTGCAGAGGAAAGTGTTACCTCCATGAAATGAGGGTGCTCTAGCTGACCACTTCGGGAGAGATAGTACACAACTGGAACCTTACATCTGCTTTTCGGCTCCTTCCACGCCATCGATCTCTCCGTGCTCCTCATTGTGTCCCCCATTGTTGAAGCAGAAAGGATTTGAAAAGCGGCAGAGCGGGGAGATTCAAAAGGCTGATGCCGGGGACGAAGGGGCATTTACATACATGCCACAAAATTCTTATGTATTTATATATTTAAAACCTAATCTTTTGGATCCGCTTTTGCAATACTCAAATTAATTATTATTATCACTAACACCATTTTTTTTTCATACATAATTAAAATGGCATAAATGTAATAATTAAAATTTTTCATACACAAACAAAATAACATGAACCTAACAATCAAAAATTAGATATTAAATATATAAATAAATATAAATTATGTGACATGTATGTAAATTATATATAAAAAAAAGAGCATTTACATACACACAACACAAATTTTATGTATTTATATATCTAACATAAAAATTTTATTTTTAATATTTATATCACTCAAAATTTTTATTTTAAATTAAAAATATCAATATTTTAATTTTTAAAAATTAAAATATATAATTTTTAAGTTTGGATAAGATGTTATTTATATATAAAACTTGAAATATGGATATTGAATATGGAGTAAAGTGTTAAAATAATTATTAATTAATTAGATGAGGTTATTTTAGAGTTTGTAGAAGTGTCAAAATAATATTTAACTTAAATATTTTTTTATGGAGATTATTTCAACCTAAATTAGAAGGAAGCCAAGTCATGTGAGCGGGGGATCACTGTGGGGCCAGCTGAGTGATGTAAGGCCTGCATTTTTTGGGTTTACGCATAAAGATCAAATTTGTCACGTGAGTTTTTTCTCAATTCATTTCTTTTAATGATAAATAAAATAGATATTCTTCAGAGATAAATCTGTAAGGACTAATTTATTTATTCCTAAATAGCTATTAGGAATGTTCAAATCCTGCTTCAGCACCGTTTTAATTAAATTTAAGGAGGTATTTGGGTAGATGAAGGATTTAATGTTAGTAGGATCGAGTAAATTTAGAGTTATTAAACCCATCATTTTATAATGGATTTAATAAATCCAAATTTAACATGAATGGATGGTAAAATTTGGACCATCAATCCTAAGTCTCATAAATTCACAAAACTTGCAATGTTTATGTTTGGCTGGATTTAGTAAATCAAACTCCTGTTAATAGGGCGAGCCGAAGAATTCATGACCGAGAGCAGAAGAGCTCGTTGCCCCATAGTATAGAGCGGTTGTCTGGAGTTTGGTATAGTGGTGTTAAGTTCGAATGCACTGCTCCGGAAGCGACTGTTTCGAGACCCCACGACGTCGTTCATTACTTCGGATAGTGTTTTGTTGCTCAGCAGCATAAACCTTGATATCGCATGGAGTTAGTTCAACGTTCTTGTTGGGCACCTAATCGCCAGTGCAGACACCTAGTCGCCAGCCCCAAGCGCCTAGACACTAATTCTGATGTTAAATCACGTGTTTCATGTAGTTGTCTACTTACGATCACTCAACCTCTACGTTTTGTTTAAATGTATTCTCTAGAACACTAGTGCCTAACTATGATCACCTACTCACCATTGCTTGATTATTATGAACATTGAGTATGGTTATCTAACTATAGTCGCCCTCTAACGTGCTTAACTATGATCTCTCGATCATTATCACTTTACTATAATCTTTTAACTATTTTCGCCCGACTAAGATCACCAAATCATAATGTCCCGACCCCGATTGATCGACTATTGTCATATAACCTCTGTTATTAAATCACACCACCTAACCACCTTTATTAATTAATTATCACTTCACTATCACTCTATGATTGTGTCTTCATACAACATTCACCTAACTATTGTTGTCTTATGATCCCCTGATCTCATGTTTTTTATTATCATTTCCATATCATTCCCGTTTAATTATGATGTCTCATCTATCAATATAAATTGACTCAATCACCCAACTGTCTTCGCTCAATTATAATTAGTCGAATTACATTACCTAACTATGATCTCTTGTCCACAATCACCAGGTTGAGATTGTCCGACTATCATCACCTAATTATAATTAACGAACCATTATCATTTATCTATAATGGGCAGGCAATCGTCGCTCGTTTAAGGTCACCTAGTAATTTGAGTAGTGAAGCTAAAGATGGTGCTTCAGTGCTGGCTAAGTGCTGTTGCAATGCTGGAGATGTGTAGAATCTGTCAGAGGTTGGTGCTACACTGATTTTAAGACACAGTTGGGAGCTTCATCACTACAAGTTGGAGCGCCTTGACTCCTTAAGGAGCAAAATTTAGTAAAAAAGACAGAGAATTCAATGCATCGGCATTTACAAGCTTGCCTCATCATTCTTATATACAGCACATCTAGCAGCCAAACTTCCGTAGTTATTTGTATAGCGCAATTTCTTAAAATCACATCACAAATATTATTATTATTTATTTATAAAAGTGAATTTCACTTTTTCATGTATAAATTTATAACACCTTGAAAACCCCTGGCGCCTCTTTTTCCCAGATGAGCTTCTGAAGGCTCTTCCTGTAATGCAAGAGAAAGGGAAACAGAGAAGCAGGAAGTATCTAGAGAAGAGGAAACTCAACCAACATTCTATTAACCAAGCCCACGCGCGCCTATGTATATATATATATATAATTACAGTGTAATATATTTTAAAATATTTAAGAGTTTTAAATTTTATTATAAAATAAATGTAAGAGTTCTTATTTAAAATTTAGTTCCAAACAGAACAATAAAATTTACAAATCCTCCCCTTTCAAATACAATAAACACCTTTTTACTAGCAACCAAATATCCCCAAAACTAAATTTATTACCATCTTCTCATTTTTTTTGCCACATAAAACCAGACTTTTTTTCAGTTTTCTTATCTCCACAAAATGTATATATATACATAAGGAACTTTTGTCAAATTTGATTCAAAACATATAGTAACACAAGGTTTAACTTCCTTGTCGAACTAATCTTTGTGCTTCTGACACTCATTTTCATAGTGTCTAAGCTTTCTACCAAAATGACCCTTAATTTCTGTATGTTCCTCTTTGTGAATTTGGGCAGATGATGCATTAATCTTTAATGATTCTTGCTTGACCTTCTATTTTTTTTTTCCAAGTTTCTTTACAATTTTCTTTGATGACCCATGAGATTAATGAAGTGATTTCCTTCTTTCTTAAGCCTTGTTACCTCTTGAATGAGCATATGTTGCAATTCATTCATAATCTACTTATGTTTCATAGTGTTATAATTCATGTGAAATGAACCATACTCAAGAGGCAAGGAGTTAATGATAAACTACATAAGGAAATTTTCTTTCACTTCCATTCACAATGTCTTGAGTCTTGCTGTTGTGTTCGTCATTTTAACAACATGCTCATGCATAGTACGAGAACCATCAAATTTCATGTTATTTAACGCACTCAATAATGTTACAGCAAAAGACTTATTAACAAAGTCAGAATGTGTACATTGCTACGCAAATTTCATGAATTCCTTAGCATTTTGTGTTATAAATTGTACATTTTATGTTGTTTGCTACAGTCATTTGCATAAACATTAAGCTTAATTTGTTCGATTTCTCCCAAACTTTATAGAAAGATTTCTGCTCAGCACTGCTAGAAGCAATAGGAACAGCGGGTTTCTTAGTCATGAGTGTCAAATCAAGGTCCAGAGCACCAAGGTCAAAGTAGACTTGCTCAAGCCATGCAGAGAAATTAAGCTCATTGAATGTTTAAACAGATGTAACTTACGAATGAAGAGAAATAAGAGTAGATATTGCAAATAAATATAGCATGATCATACATTAATGCTTCGAGTATTAAACTTAAATAGATATTCATATCCAATCAGATTAAATTAAAACTTTAGTAGTATATTGAAAATCTTCTTTTGGTAATATAAGAATGCACAATAATAAGCATAATTGATGCTTAAGTAGTTAGTTTAACATAATTACGATTGTTTATACCTAAATTAGACATACATATTGTCTTTGGATATATAAACATATCTAACCAATTATATAAATATGTCATAATTATATTTAAAGATTATAAAAGAAATAATCAACTTTTGGGTGATTCACAAATATTTTATAATCAATGAATTTCAATATACTCATAATCAAATACAAACTTGTTTCATAATAAACATCACATATTTATGAGTAATTGAATTTATTTAATTTAACGTCTATTAAACATAAGAAATTGACCATTTTGGGGACTAACAAATTAAACATAATATAGACACCAAATAAACAATAATTTGTCAATTAACTATAGTGATCTAATTTACAGAGAAAATTTTATGCAATTAATATAAATAAAATTAAACGAAAATTCAAAAATTTAACAATCGAAACTCTGATACCACATGTTAGGATTTTTAAATTTATAAATCTAATTTCATGACCCAAAATTCATAAAATTCATTATGACCAAGTTATTTGAATTCATGATTTTCACATACCTATAAATGAAATATACATATTTGTATTCATGAGCATGGAATTTAATTTGAATAAATGAAATTTCTCTCTCTAATCGTTATTTCTTTCTGTACTTTCCAATAAAGAGAAAATAAACATTTATTCTAGGGAGAGAGATGACCCATCTCTTATTTATAAGAGAAAGGATAAGTCTCTTGAGAAACGACACAACATTTCTCTTAATTATTCATTTTAACCAATATTCATTATGGTGATTATTGACCAATATGATTAATTAATTAATTAAAACGAAAGAAAATAGTGTTTATTGAAAGAGACATGACTCTCCATTTAAGCTAATTTAATTAATTAATTAAAATGAAAGTATACGGTGTCTATTGGGAAGAGAAACTATTATGAATTTAAATATTAAAATTTAGCTCCAAACCGAACACTAAAATTTACAAATCCTCTCCTTTCAAATACAATAACCACCTTTCACAAGCAACCAAATATCCCCAAAACAAATTTTATTACCATCTTTGTTGTGAAATTTAAGGCGAAGAAGACACAGAAATCGACACAAAACTAGAAGAAGAACACAGAGATTTAACGAAGTTCGGCAAAATGCCTACATCATATTTTTCTTCGCCCTAAATTTCACAATAATCTTCTAATTCTTATTGCCACACAAAATCAGACCCTTTTTTTCCCTTTTTCTTTTCTCCACAAAATATCTATAAATATACTATATTTTGATAAAAATTTCATTCAAAGTCAATTTTGAAATCACTTAGAGAGAGAAAGAGAGAGAGAGAGACAGAGAGTCCAACATGCATGTCACCATATCAGAAGAAATGAAACAGAGGCACATCCCAACTGAAACACTGATCCAACTGCACCGGCGGCAAATTGAGATCAAACAGTACCACCTCCGCGGCCTTCTTATCCTCACAATATCGTCGACGCCTATGCCTAGTCATATGCCCTCCCAACGCCTGCCCCATGCGAAACTCCACCCCACACACAGGACAGCCATGCACCTTCTTCATCCTCTCAATCCTCACCTGCCCTCCTCCCATCCTCTTGTGACTCGTTCTATGCCCGCCCAACGCCTGAAAAGATGAAAACTTTCTCCTGCACGTCTTGCATTCGAACACTCTCCCATCCCCTGCATCTCCTCCGGAGCTCTTACAAGCCATCTTTAACTGTTCTCTGTTACGCTGGAGGAAGTGGGATGCTGTACCGGAGGTTTTTATACAGAGCTGAGGTGGGACTTGCTAAATAAAGCTTGTGCGGGCACGCAGTGTGATCCATTATTAGGCTTTTTGAGGGTATGTGGAAATTGCTGGAAGGGAAGATGAGACAGAGACGCGAAGGGACGCGGAAGAAGTGGAGACGGCTTCTTGGTTTCTTTCTGACTTCGTTTTCTGGGGCGGAATCTGTGTTCCACAATGCTGCTATGTTTGCTTGGACTGCCCGGGTTTCTCTTTCATATTGTTGGGGACGAGATTGGATCATTAAAATATTATTTTAACTTAGGATTATAATAAAATGAGAAATATAAAAATATTTTCGAGACAATTAATAAGAGATCGTTTAATATGAAATGTAAAATATTATTTTTTCGAACATTTTAAATTATTTAAAGAATATTTTAAGTATATTTTTTTATTAATTATGGTTTTAAAAGAGGCGGCTCATGAGCTAACGAGTTGAGTTAGAGCTAGCTCTAACTTGGCTTTGTTAGTTCATTGAGCTCAGTTCATAAGCCACTCATCGAGTGGAGGCTAAGTCAGCTCACAAGTCAGCTTGGCCCACTTACACCCCTACCGGACATGATAACCACATCCGTCTATGAATAATAATAATAATAATAATGATGATAATAAGGGGCATTTACATATATATCACGCTTATATATTTACATATTTAAGATCTGTACTGTACTTTTTTTACATTTATATCACCCAAATCTTTTATTTGTCATCTAAAATATCACTATTATAACGGTAAAAATGTTAAAATAATCGTAGCTAAACAGCCCAAAAGAATTAGTGAATTTAGAGCTTCTTGTGAACGTAGTTTCAGGTTAATTTCAACTAGAGGAAGTACTTTTAGTCCCACCTCGCATTGCTTTCCCATTGTTATGTTATCATTTAAAATATAAATAATATCCCAATAAATCTATCATTACTTTAATAGTATTTTATTATAAGTCAAAAAAAGCATGATAAGCGATGACTTCCAAGTCGTTGAGATTCAAACTGATTACTCACATCTGGCTTTTCTTTTCCAAAATGAGAGCTTTAAAAACAAGAATTACTTAGTTTATTTTCAATAGCAAAAAATTACATACAAGCCACAGCTCTTTAATATTTATATATCTAACCTCAAAAATTTGATTTTTACATTTATAACACCTAGATATCATAAATCTATGCATTAAAACGTAAATTACATTCAAGTTGTATGCATGTAAACATATATAGATAGAATCAGATGCTGATCACACCTGCAACTAAGCAGCAATTTCACATTTCTGAACATCTGACTGAAAAGACTGACGTAGACAAAGCAGCAATTCGATCTTTCACATTATAGCGGTTTAGAGATACTTAATTTATATAATTATATTAATATCAATATATTGGTGTTTATTATAAAGTTTTTTTTCGTATATATATATATATA